AATAAAGAAATCAGTTAGTCTCTTGACTAAAAATAAAGTAAATGTCTAATTACAAGCAAGACTTATGTGAAAGTTGGTGTGTTTTGAGTGCAAAGGTGTGTGTGTGTCCTGTGTCAAGTGAGACCAGTAGTATTAATAAAGCCATCTAGACAAGATAACAGTTGCTATGGTGATTGTCTAACTCTGTGACATCAATTACAAAGTACATAAAGCTGTTAAAAAATGACTGAAGGTTGCCAGAATCTACGCAAAAGACCAAGATCTGTTATGCAAGAGTCATTTCCAAGCACCAGCAAGGTGATCTTGAACAATAGATCACAGATCTCCAACATAATTACCCAGGATACAAAATCATTAGTGACATCAGTTCAGAACTCAATTGGAAATGCAGAAGTTTTCTTACCCTTTTGGAATAAATACACTTGAAGGAATCGAAGAAGTGGTGGTTACCTGAAAAGCCATTTCTGTTACTTTAGATCCAAACTTGTGGAATAGATCTTTGAAAAAACTGGAATATGGCTCATGGTATTCAGTTCAGATATTTGTGTCAATGATAACAAAACTGGAGAATTCGCAGAAACTTACTTTCAATCGTCACAGTGTTTGTGGTATGATATAATAGATTATGCTCTGCTGCCAATTGCAAAAAAAGAAAAGATACCACCCAAGCAATTCAAAAGTTCTAAGAAGGAAGTAATAAAACTTCCAACAGGCAAGGTACTATGCATTCGCCTTTTTCCTACTTAGGAAGAACAATCAAAACTCAGGCAATGGATAGGAACAGCTCGATAAATATACAATCGTTGTCTTATTGCGATTGAAAAAGAAGGCATCAAATGAAAAAAGAAGGACTTATGTGCTCAATGTCTTAATGCTATAAACTTTCAGAATAAAACAGAACTTGAATAGATTTTAGAAACACCTTATAATATATGAGATAAAGCAATGAATAACTTACTTAACTGATATGTATCTAATTTTGCTGAAAATCATAAAAACTTTAAAATGAAGTTTTGTTCTAAAAAAGATCCACAGCAATCAATTGCAATACTTTCTAAATATTGGGGTAAATCTCATGGTGAATTCTTATTTCTTCATAAAATGAACTCAGCAAAATTTCTTCCAAAACAACTTGAATATAATAGTCATCTTGTTATAAATCGTCTTGGTGAATTTTACCTTTGTATACCTGAGCCACTTAAAATACGGGCTGAGAACCAAGGTCCTTTATTGTCAGAAAATCAAGAAAAGGTTTGAATTAATTTTTTGATTTTTTTT